GTTCTTTATATAGAGAAGAAAAAACTCGTTAGAAAGTTTGCACATTTTCCCTTCAGGACATTAATCCATGAACCCATTGGCTGAGATGTCTTTCAGCCATGAAGGCAATGGGGCAGTGAAGGTCTTGTTATAATGGAACAAGGCTATTTCCAGATAATGTGAGTCAGATTGACTTCAGGGATTGATCTGCTTTCCAGATGTTGGATATAGTCAAGTGGAGCAGGGAAACAGAGATGGCAGCTAAGTATAAGGAGACTTAGAATAAGCAAGAAGTCAGAAGTGCTCTTTGCAGTGAATAGTGTTGGTGTTTTCAATACTGTGTGAGTCAGAGATAAAGCTGAGAAACAAATAATTGTTTCAGAGAGACATGGGAATGTCAAAGTGTATTGAGAAATGAGTCAAAATAAGATCAAAATAGGACTAAAATAGGACTAAAAGAAGTACTTTTTTCTGTTTGTCCATTCAAGTGCAAAAGACTGGAAAGTGGTCAAAATGGCTGGTGAACAAGAAAAGAAAACAATAAGAAAAACAAAAAACACAACACATTTGCTCATAGAATTCTAGGACAAAATAACACAAAGAACACAAGAAATAAAGTGTGATTCAAAGAAGTTTTCATATTATAATAGCTGATAACAACCCCGAAGCCTACATCTAATCCAAAGTCTACAGAAGTCAGTGTAAGCTCTGTAAGATTTAAGAGATTGTTGTTGATTCTTTCTGTGTACCTCTGCTCAGATGGGTTTGTCTACACCCTGACTTCCATGAGATCAAAATTAGTTGCCTAACCAAGTACCCAAGCTCTGAGCATACCAATGTATTGTAAGATACAAGGAGTTTGCACATCCTATGCACATCAATTGTAAGATACAAAGAGTTTGTATGAATGGTCTTTGAGATAGACAAATAAAGAATGGTGCATGAGATCTTTGTGAGCTCTTGCCAAGCAGGCTGAGAGACTGTCCACTCTGAGAATGTTTTCTATTCAGTGATAAGCATACTACATGACACAGATTAGTGCTTTCTTGAGTCTCTTCCCATCCTCAGTGCTCCCCTTTTGTACCTGGTGGGGTTGTAAACACAGTCTTCTGCTCCTTTTGGGGAACATGCAGAGCAAACCCTGCTGGAAGAAGAAACAAGGCTGAAAGCCTTCCTCACACAGCCTGTGGAAGGTGCTGCTTTTATTTCCTCCAACATGGAGTGGTTTTTCAAGACACAACTGAGCCTTCTGAGAGGGTGCAGCTCATGGGAACAAGACCAGCCCCACGATCAGGTGTCATTTTCTTAACCCGGCCAGTGGGTCTTATCTCAGAATCAGGCCAGCTGGCAGCAAGCTGAAGGCAATTGTTGGCGGTACAAGCAGTCAGGGGAGGTAGCAGGAGATCTGTACAGTCAAGCCTATACACCAAGGGTGTGGGGGCTCACATCTGGCTGCAAGATGCTTTGAACAGTTTGTTGGACAAAGGCGCTTGGTCAAAAGAGGTCAGGGCAGGTTCAGTTGTACTGCCAAGGGTGAAAACTATAGTGAAAGTCAATAAAAGGCTCTCATGGCTTCTAGTTTACCCAAATAAGGAGAGAGAAGAATTGTTAACACAGGGTTTTCCCTTACCTTTTCAAGGTCATAGGAAGGTTAGCGCAGCTTCAAATTGCTGCATAAGCTTGAAAGGAAGAATGACAAAATGTGGATTAGGAAAATACATGGTCTCATTTTTAAAAGGTTGTTCTGCTGAAATGGTGGAGGGTGGTGGTCACCAGGAGGATGAAGTGCAGGCGGAGTGGGGGCAGTGCCTGACACTGTACCTTGAGCATTTTTCTGTAGCTTTTGAAAATGGGTGTAAAGAAAAAAAAAAAAAAGATTTAAAGATTTTGATATTATAACTTTGTGATCTTCAGTTACAAGTAAGGTGAATGTTTCTAACAGTGCTGCTGATTATCCATGGGAAAAATCTGTCAGGGAAATTGGGGGCTCTCTAGCTTGGTTGTTCTCTGGTAGAAATGATTTAATTACAGAAAAGTAATTGGGTGTAATATATGGCAGGTTGGTGAAATCCTCTCAGCAGGTTATTGAAGATAATCTGGTAGAACTTCCTGACATAAGAATCTGTTTTTAAGCTATTTTTACATGTGAAGAAAAGCATCTTGGGAAATCAGCTGGGTTTTGCCAACTATGCTAGGTCACTTGAGTTCTGGTTTTAGAGACAGTATAGCTGACTGAGTTAGACAGTGAATGAATAATTTTCACTACTGAAGAGACCAATTTTACTGTTTACAATTAGTATTTTAAATGAACAACAACAAAAACAAACAAACAAAACAAAACAAAAAACATATAAATTCCTGTTTCTGTAACTTGATGTTTTAATAATTACATAGATGCCTGAAGGGTCTGATGCCTGAGCCCTTGATAAATTAATGATAGCTGGATGTCCAAAACCAACAAATTATCTTCAGGCAGTTCAACGATCAAGAATCTAAAGTCAGTTTACAGTAAAAATAAATAAATAAATAAATAAATCTCTTCCTTTGCACAGAAATACAAATTGGTATGTTAGAAAGGGAGTTTAGAAAACCTTGTGCTGTCACTTAAGTCAAGGACTGCAAGTACCACAGATGTTCTCCAAATATTGCAGAATGGAAAAAATATCATGGAATTTCCATCATTGTTCTCTCTTCAAATTCTGGTTACATCAGTTGTCAATACTACATTCCCACTGACTGTATCATTGTTACAAATAATAATACAAACAGAATTCAGAGAAACTCATGAACAAATATTTTATGTTATTTACAAGGTGCATTTTTTATGAGTTGATTTTTCTTCTCTTTAAGCATTACTTTGTCTGTATCTAGTAAAGTCCTAGAAGAGAAACAGTTTACTAGATATAGAATATTAAATAAATATTGGGTGGTCATAATAGAAAAGTCTGAAAATGGTTTAAAAGGAACTAAAAAAGTCTTCATATAAAAAGCTATGAATAAATATATGAAAATTTGAATTTTCTTAATAAAATGTACTTCATATGTGTGTAGTTAAGAAAATGTCTATTTTCACATGCATGTGAACTCACATAGTTCAGCTGTACATGTATACACATTTTATATATTTATAACATCTGCTTATTGTACTGATATATGGTTTTCAACACTATTGAGATGTTTCAGACGGTTCAAAACCAAAACTGCTTAATGCAAAATTCTAATACTCAGCCTGAGGTAAATGTCACCCTTCTAAAATAATGAGCTATAAAAAAACCTTTTTTTTTTTGTTGTTTTTAAATGTTTACACTGGAAATTTTTTTTTAACTAGCCCACTGTCCTGAGGACATGGAAGTTTTCCATACAAGATTTGGCCATTATTTAGTGGAAATAATACCAAATTACACTAGAGTTTGAAAGACACTAAGCAGCCTGAAGCATGATCCAATGGTTGAACTTAAATATTCAGTTCATTTGCAGAGATGTTACTGGTTCCAGCTGCGTTCTCTGTATAGGGGATAGGGAGAAGATATATGTCCAGCTGGAAACAGAACAAGCTACACAGAGTTCTATGTTCAAACACTAAATACGCACCAGAAATTGAACAAACAAATGTCCAAGATATACAACATCTATTCAAAATGAAAGCAGCACTAGTAGTTGAATCATGTCACAATAATCTGAGATACTTTACCTCCTACATTTTTTCAGGGAACTTCTTCAGGTGACACTCTGTTTAATAATGCAAAGTACTCCTATACATAACCTTTAGAGTCTCCCTTAAAGTCTTGAGTGATGTATTTTCATCACTGAAATTTATAGTAATATCAGCATCAGTAATTTATGTGTTTTAATTTAAAGCATCTGTTTTTAATTTATATAGTTCAAGGTTTTTTCAGCAATTGCCCATGAGTAAGCATTTGATCTTGATACTATATTTTGATTCCATATTTGATGACTATCTTTCCAATGTGTGGGTTTTCATTAAAAGTTAAATCATTGTGTCTCAGACCAAAAAGCAGCTTTTCACAAGTGAAGTGAAATTGTTTTTAAATAACTGAAAAGGCTGTTCTGCATTTCAATCAGATTGAGCAATGAGAGGAGCCTAGTCTATTTCACATTTGATTTCAGACATTCCCACTTTATTTTATTTATTTATTTGCCTATACATTTATTTATTTATATTTGTGGACTGCTGCAGTGCTGCTGTGCTAGATGATATCGAGATATAAGAGAACACAACCGTATCAGAGAAGCTGTCCTATTAATTTTCAAATAACAACCAGGCAAAGTGCTTCCAGTTAAGAAGCAATGCTCTTTCTTTGTGAGACATATGGCCTTGAGCAGCATACTTAGCTTTCCTTGTGGTTTTAGGATGAATCATGACTTTGGATGATTTCCCTGAAGATTCAATTGCTAGAGTCTTGTGAATGCATTTTATTCTTTATTTTTTATTATTTTTTAATTATTTTAAAGCAAAGAAGAGGTGAGTTTTCTAGCCACTCGTCTGCAAAGCGGTGGTCAAGAACGCAAAGCTGAAAGGCTCAAACACATGAAGACATTAATTAAGGAACCCAGCATCTGTTTATCTGTAAAACCCTATAAATGAGAAGAGACTTTCTGAATATATCAAACTAGTGGTACTGTGAATCTCTTGTGAAAGAAATCATTACCATTGTTTATTGATAGCAATTCCCTAGTTTTAAGCTTGGATACTCTCTAGCTGCTTCCACCTGCTGTCTTTTTCCGAGTTCTGTAGCAATGAGTTTTCCACCAGAAAACAGTAGCAATGGATTTTCCCCTCACACAGACTGTCACAGTGGTAATGAAAGGGCTGGGTGGAATGGTAGTTCAGATCCTGCATTTTGTGTGGAGCTTCAGACACTTCTTGAAAGGAGACGGGGAAATATGGCATGAGATCTCCAGCTGCCCCGAAGCTGGCAATGTTCTATGTGTCTGTACCTCCTTCTTTCCAAGTGTCTGGTTTTCTGTGATTGCCTTTCTGTGATTATGTTCATGCAGGGTACTTGAGCTAACGGGCTCTTGCTCCAGAAAGTCTCAAACATGTGCAGTCATGTTTGAGACTTGTAGATTCTGCACATGTAGATTCTCTATTGGAAGGAGGCACTGACGGCCAGAATTATGAGGAAGAAGGTGACTCGATACACTTATCACTGAGAATGCATCTTTTTTGTTCTTTAATTAATTCATTAATTACAAATTATCTTCAGGGATTTCATAGTAGGAAGCTTTATAATTATCTAATCTTAACTCCTGTGTAACATACCAAAGATCTGTGCCATAACTCACTCTCTGTTTCAGCAGTGATTGTGGATATAAATGAGAGATTCAGTCAGGACTATTGTTTTATCAGAACTCATTTCTGTGCAAATCATGATACCATATGTTACATTTATCCAGGAATATAGCAAATTTCCAGAACTAGAAAAAAAATAAAATCAAGACTGGGAGACCTCTCTCTAGCTGCCCTACTTTCATTGATAGGAAACACATTAGAGTAATCAGAGCCTTGGATTTAATTGTTGGTTACTGGTCTTTTTGAAGTAAACCTCCATGATTTCTGGTTTTAAGAAGTCTTGGTTTTCTGCCCAGAAGCCAGCCATGTTGGGGTTGCTCACTGAAGTCTTGTATTTATTTAGAGCATTTACCAGAACATGAATGCAATAATACAACATTTTTATCCTGTGAACACAACTCAGACATCCGGAGCTCCAGAGGTGAATGTCCTGCTTCGCTGAAAGGACAAAATATGTCTCTTTAGAAATGAATCCAAAATCTTTTGCTGCTGGGCATAAGAGCTGTAGAAGTGTTGCAAGGTCTCTGACCATAGCCCTGTGGTAAGCCAGTTTAATCAGAGTCGTGGTAGCATTTTTATTTCAAGAAATTTAAATTAATCTCTCTCTCTCTCAAAAAAAAAAAAAAAAAAAAAAAAGAGAGAGAGAGAGAGAGAGATTAACAAGTCCAAATCTTAATTAAATGCTATATTTTAAATTCTGTGAATAATATTGTTTAAGAAACATTTAATCATTGTATTTTCTTGTTTAGGATTAGCTGTTTAAAGACAAAAGACTCTAGGCTCCAATTAACTGCTGCCAAAAATTAATTTAAGTAGCCTAATTGACAACTTGCTTTAAGCTACATAAAATCTTGGCATAAAACTTATTGTCAAGGGAAAAATATTCCTAATTTATTACTTTATTATAAATGAAACTATTGACCAAAGTGCACTTGCTCTACTGCAGCTGTTATGTAAAACAACACTATGTAGATGACAACGATTATGAGTCCTTGTTCCTACACGTAAATACAACTTGCTCCAAAATTGCACTGGTTGCTAATGAATGTTTGGTGCCATGGGGCTGCAGAATAACTGCAGAATAGGTAAAAATCCTGCTTTCAGGCAGCACTGCCAGATCCCGGTCCTTTTTCTGTGCTGTGTCTTCTGTTTTGTGATAGTTGTGGCAGCGAGAGCGGGCTCCTGATGGGCTTCAGAAGCAGCCTGAGCTGATGCTTGCAGCACAAGCTGAGCCCAACTCTTCCACCACTGTGCAAAAGGGCAATGTAAACTGTTCCACATGTGGGAGCAGAGTGCGGGCGCTGTCGGGAGAAGGTAGCGGGGCTATTAAATGTAAAACCAGGGCTGAACAATCAAAATACTTGTCCGCCAGTGTGTGAGATACTCAGATATCTGCGAACAGGGAGAGAAAATTAAAAGCTGTAAGTACATACTGTAAAGCTCTTTAGTTTCTTGTTTATGGTCACAACGGGCCAACTTTCAAAGCCACTTCTTGAAACATTGCCCGCAGTTTCCCACCTGCAACTAGTTAGACACACAAGCCCTGTACTTCCCCCACTGGCACAGCTCATTTGCATCCCTCCTACCCCGCTGGTTTGCAGAGGCACTGGTCCCTGTGTGGGCACAGGTCTCAGGCCAGACCCTGCACCATGCTGCAGTTGCAGCTCCTTTGTTGCAGCCATGCTCTGTGCACACACTGCTGCATTGCCTCCTGCCTAAGTGCCATTTGGTTTTTGCACCTGCTGTTTCTTTACATCCGTCCAGTTCAACCTGCTGCATGTTGCTGTGATGTGAGCCAGCCTGCCCAACTCCACGTTGTCCCGTGTACTGTGCGTTTCTCCTTCTAGGAGTGAAAAAAAATGGGATTGCACAGGGCAGGTAGCTCACTGGTGTTCAGTCCTGCCAAGGAGCCTCTTTGGAGGGTAAAGAGGTTGCTTGCAAAATATAGTGTCTTGGCTCAGTTTTCGTTGTCTAGGCACATTTCGTTTCAAAAACTCACAAGCTACCAACACAACCATGTCATTGCAATTTTTCAAGCATTTTCTTTTTTTTTTGTGTGAGTGTGTTTTGTATTTTGGTGAAGTCACACGCCCCCCAGCTATTGGAACAACGCTCAGCTGAGCGCTGAGCACACCGAACAAGAGGAAATTACAAAAGCAAAAAGTTCATAAGACCATCAGTGCAGGCATTTCTCCCACAGCCTCAGAAAGCCCTGATGCAGCTACATGTGTCCCCTTGGAGATGCTCAGGGTCTGGGCCTGCTGGGAACCCACAAAAGCAAACCCTCCCCAGGAACACCCATAAAACCTCGGGGATGTTTCACAGCACTCCTGGGGCACTGTGACCCTTCACACCCCTCCTCCACCGAACAAACTGTGTAAAGGCTGAGATGTGTTGCCGAGATAATGAACACAGAAGAATTTACAGCAGGTGCTATTTGAAGAGACTTCGAACAATGCAGAATTACCTGTGCCCATTTAAGTCCATTAATCTTCTCTTGTAAAAATAGCAATAAGCTGTGATTTAGAAGCAGGGAGGAGTGAAGCTGGGAGCCCTGAGGTTAAAAGAGAGAAAGATCAGTGCTTGTGGTTCATTTTCTCTCTGCTCATGCAACAAGTGGCTGAACTGCTGGAAAACATGACTGCAGGTACAGCTTGGAAAATGCCAAATTTCTCTAAACATTGTCGCTAGCATTATTTAGCATCTATATGCAAATAATAGAGTCCAGTGCCCAGAGATAGTTTACAGCCTGCAAAATCCCGTAAAGCAGACAGGCTCACATTGAAAGCCCAGGGAAGCCCCCCAGTAAAGGTGGGTGCTAAAGTACAGCAATTGCCTGAAATTTGAAGGTACGCAGCAGCAGTTAATCATGATAATTACCACCTGCTCAGCTATTATCTCGGCTGCTGCCGCTGATGTGTCCACAGCAGGTACCCTCAGAACAAAGTCTTATTATGATGGATAGGCTCTGATTTTTAATCTTGGAGCACCTAAAAAAAACACCAAGTCCTAACCAGAGCTTGCTGCAGCCGAAGGGGATTCTTCCCCACCACCACCAGCCCTGTAGCATCAGGAGCCCGTCAAAAGAAGTGATTTATGTGAATACAGCCCTGGAAGATTTTCTTCCCGCATGAAAACAAATGAGCTGGCAAAGCATTAATTTAAAATACTTGACTCGTTAATGAGCGGTATATAGGATAATGGCTGCTTCTGTAAGGCCTTTCTGCCTCGGCTCTGCAGGCAGCTGCGCTTGCTCTGACCCGGCGGGCGCGTGCCTGGCCCCAGCACCGGGGGCTCCACATGGGGGTGGCTGTGTCTCAGGATGGCTGCTGGCATTTTGGTGAGCATGGGCACTCTGGGAAAAGTTAGCCCTTTATATTAGAAATATTTTTGTTTTTCCTTTGATTAACAAAAAAAAAAAAAAAAAAGGAATAGTTTTTGAAACTATGTTGTTCACCTTCTGTTTTTCAGGTGAAGAAGGGCTTTCTCAGTGTCGTGTTAAGATAATTCAAATTGTTCCAGCGTTCATCTAAAAACACAGAAATACCTGACCCTTTTAAACCTACCATGCTCAAAACAATTACAACACTGCTTTTTGTTTCATTTTTTAAAAGGCAATATACCTCTGGTTTAGACCACATTTAGGTAGAAAATTACTGTTTGTTTGTATTTTTTTGAAAGAGGCAGTCAGTTAGTGCTGAAATAATAATTCTGGAAATGCAGAGGCTTCTGTCTGCCTGGACAGCACAGCTTGTTTTGCAACTTTGCTTCTGACGTACCTGAAAAGCATTGCCCCTGCAGCTTCCCCATCAGGGAACCCCCATGCCAAAGCTCACAGCAGGGGCAGGAAGGGGGAAAGGGATGTGGTGCTCTCCCAACCTACTGCATTTAAGCCTGAGTCCATGAAAAATCCCTTTTATGATGGATACACTGCAATATAATTGACCTAAACCCCCAGCCTCCGATGGAGGTTGCAATGCAACACTAAGCTGGTGACAGAGCCTGCTGTCTGAGGGGTTTTGCAAGGTCGTGTTTTAGGAGGAAATACATTTCTCCTCCAGCCTGATGCAATCAGTTTACTGAGTGGCAAGTAGCTGCGGACACCTCATGTGCTGCTTTGCAAAGTGTTTGTGGATATCCTCAGATGAACATTGCCAAAGATAAGATCTTAATTATAGAAATCTCAAGAGCGATTGAGAAAATAGCTCAACAGGGATGTCGGGGTGGTTTCCCCAGAGGAAGCAGGGCAGCCCTGCAGACGTGCAGCACCATCACCACCTCCAGGGAGCTGTTCGTCAAGGGACAGCCTGTCCTGGCACGGCCCCTCGTAGATGCTAGCTCCTGCTTCACTGTCTTCTCCATGCTTGCAGGTCCCCAGGCACTCTGCTGTAAAAACCTGTGAGCTGGGTCTCCAGCGAGCTCCTTCAGGAAGGGATTTTGGGTGAGGGATGATCCAGGAGGTGTTCACAGGCACTCTCTGAAATGTGGAGGGGCAACATGTGCTCTCCTGAGGAGTTAACTGCTCCATGACAGCTTCTGTCGTATCTGAAAGGACTGCCAGAAAAATCTGGAAATTGTCCATGACCAAGGAGGTATCAGGGAGCTACGCAACAAGTGTGGTTTTTGTGCCACATTCAGTCCTGAAGCCAAACTGAAGTAGTTCAAAGAAATATGAAGTTATGCTGTTTTACATCAAAGCTTTTCCCTAAAAGCTACTAATTTTCCCCAGACAAGAAGGCCTCAGAGACAGCTGGACTGCCAGCAAGATTACCAGCTCCTGGCAGCTCCTTCTTAAATAAATCCTGTGGATCTCTACTCTGAGAGAAGCAGGGAACTCAAAACTTCAGACTGGAATTTGCATCTTGTTCTTAATAAATTTGGATACAACTCTCCCAAAATAAGGTGGGAGACCTCCTAGAAATTGAGGTGTTGGACTAGAAATGAGGAAACCAAACTCATGGACATCAGCTCCTGCCCTACTGGATGGCAGGTGTGGAGCCATTCTTCTGCTTGCACACCCACAAGCATCTCTCAGCATTGTGTGGACTTTTCTTGGGGTGGATGATTTCCACACACTGGGATTTAGAAGAGACATTTTGCTGCCTGTACCTGGAAGCAAAACAGGAGGTGTTGAATGTGCAACACTTATCATTATACACTAACTAGGTCTATCACACAGGCCGGGAGTTTGCCTCTTTTTTTCCTACCTCTCTTTTTGGTAAGCAATCTTTCCTTACATCTCAGTGCTTTCCCAGTTAAAGGACCAGTGTAAAACCCATGTACATAGGATTTACACCTCTGGTTTTCAATAGGCACTGACTGCTTGGCACTTCCTTAATGTGAGATTGTAAAATACCTAAAACAAGGACTGCTTTGGAAAGATAATGAGCACCTGAATTGCTCTTGAGAGCAGAGGTAATTGTGTGTTAATGCACACGTCCTGAGCCAAAAATCGTGGCTCGGGAAGAAACTCAAGACTGGGTTCAAAAGGTGCTTAAAAAGGAAGCTATCTAAAGCATTTGATATGACATCCAAAGGATTTACCTGGGTCAGAGCAACCTGATGAATTCACTTGAAAGTGAATCTCTCTGGAAGTATTCCTTCATCCTAGAGAAAGCAGGAGGGATCAGAAATGCCATTCTTCATAGAGAGTGTGATATTCAGCTCACGCAGTCCTATAAGCACACAGGAGAGGAAAGAGGGTGATGGGCTCAGGCTTCTCTCCCCTGTACATCCGCTATCTTTCCATACACAAACAGATGTGCTCACATAGATTCATCTGCAATGCAATTCTAAAATCAGTTATTTTCAGAACAGTGCATGGGACAAGAACCCCTGAAACTTGCATTTTCTTTAAAAGAATTTATATTGTTTTTAAAAATAAATATGCATTTTATTGCTCCCCAAATCACCTGATGATTCAGGCTCACCCCCAAATGTACCCATGTATGAGTTTTAATATTTTTAGGTGGTTTCCGAGCATTCCAAGGACTTAAAATACATGTTAAAGAAAACATTAAATTTAAAATCATTTAGGGAATGAATGAAGTTCAAGAGAATTTTAGGTATTCTGAATGCGTAGATCTGAATTTGCTTTAAAGATTTTCCAAGATATTTAGGTTACAGAGGTGATCTAATGCTTCGCTTAAATACTGCTCACAGGTTGATTTGCATGGCTTTTGGAGGTTAATACCATGTTTCAACAGATATTTTTTATTTTTATTTTTAATTATTTTATATTATCTCCCTTCTGCCCAGGATGTCTTTGTAAGACTTTTAGATAAGAGAAATCTTGACCTGGATTGGCTTTTTGGTTGAGTTGTTTTTTCTCAACTTCTAATTTACCTTTGCAACACCACCCAACAGTATGCTACTACACCCTGCAATGCCATCATAGCTCTATATCAGGGAGCTTTTCAAAAAATCACAGGAAGATGGGCTGATGCCTCACTCCCAGGCATACAAAATGAGGTGATACTCTGTACTGTAGCCCAGCCCAGCTGCACCTTTCCTCCTTGGAGCATCACACCACAGTTTTTCACAGCCAGCGTTCAGGTCGCCTTCTGCCTTGGAGTCGGAATAAGCCCCAGTGTGTCCCATTGGGGGTGGCAGATGCTGATCCAATTCCTTCTCCTTGCTGGAAATGCTCAGCAGCCCCCAGTCCTTGCCTGCTGCAGGCTGAAATGGGGTTTTTGCTTCAGGGGATGGAGCCCACACTTAGAGAAAAGTTATTATAAAGCAGTCTTCTCTGTGTATGCTGATCCCTCTGAAAGGCCTTCTCTGCTAATCTCAATAGGCCTAATTTCTTTAGGCATTCCAGGAGGATTTTGCATCTCAGTCTAGACACACTTCATCCCACTGTTTCGAGAGAGAAAGCCTTTTGAAACTGCCAGAGCTCCTTTGCTGCTCTGAAAGGCTCTGGTGCCTGCAAACGCAGTAGGAGAGGCAAGGAGAAGGTGAAGTCTTCCAGGCTCACCATTACCCTGCACGCCTGCCACAGGACATGCTGGATGACCTGAGATCCTAGGCTCTTTCTGCTTCTTGTTGCTTAAAACGTTCCCTATGAAAATAAATAAAAGGACAGGACCCTGAGCTCTAGCTCTGCCTCTGATGTACCGAGAAAGTGCCCTCATCTCTGTTTGCTGCAAATATTATTTGTATTGTACAAACGAGTCACATAGCATCTATGCAGTGTTTATAGTGTTAGCAAGAGTACAGACTAAAAGACGATGTTTTCTGTGTCCCTGAATGAATTCCTCTATTCCAGGATCAGTCTTTTAGGGTATAAATACCTTCTGCTGGGATTTCAGAGCATGCCCCATCCTTGACAGCCAAAGGCATAAGACAGAATCAGACCCAATTTTTATTTGTATTATTTTGGTCCCATTAGTGCTCACTTATGGCAGTACTTCTAAAGACAGAGCCTTTGTGGATCTAAGTAAGCTAGAGAGAGCTGCCTGGCCTCGGTGAGAAGTGCCAGCCAGCAGGGCTGGTCAGGTCACTGGGCTGTGTGTCATTTTGGGGTAACGAAGTCAGCAGCATCTTGGATGCAACGGCAACGCAGTGTGCTTTGTTATTCTCTTACCTTTGCATGCAGCTCTCCTGAAAAATGTCACAAAGTGTGACTCATCACATCTGCATGAAGTTATGAAAAAAGTAAGCCTTGTTAACCTGCTGTTTGAAAACCAGAACACTTTTATCAGTTCATATAATTGCTAACCCCTTATTCACTGTTCAACACTGAAGGGTTCTTTGCCTCCTAAGATCCCACTAATTGCTGACAGATTTGATTTCTCCGTGACAGCAGGAGTCCTGTTTCTGGCCTTTACATCAAGTAATTGCTTTATTTTTCTCCCTCTGCTCTGAAAAACGGAATTCCCTTCTCCCCTGCTTGAACCTCTGTAATGACTTCTTTCTATGTTATTAAATCCTTGCCATTTAAATCACATTTAGAGATGTTTTGAATAACTGATTCCAATTACTAAGGCTCTTACTAAGGAGCAGCTGAAAACGCAAGTCATTACTTGCCCACAGACAAGCAGCTACACCTTGCAGCAAAGTCTCTGGTGGACTGTATTTTATTTCTACTCAGTAAGGTGCAATTTATACTCACAGGAGGCGGGTGTTCAACAAATATACAGCTGCTGGAGTTCTCATGGCTCGTCACTTGTGCAAAATGGAGGCCTGGTTTTATATTTATTTTATAAATAGTGCCAATCCTTAAAGAAATCCTCCTGTCCTTCCTGCAGTGGCTTGGGAAGCTTGGAACAACAGTGGAGATGAGCAGCTGACCGGGGAATGACCCACGCAAGGTTTCTATCCAGAGATCTAATAAAAAAGCATGGCAGGGGAAAAGGAAACAGGACTGCGGGTTGTGCATTCCTTCCGCGAGACACGATCAGCTTCTGTTGTTCTTAGCATTGTTTTTTACACAGGTCACGATTCCTTGAATTGACTGAGAACTTCCCAGCAATAACAGTTTAGTTCAGTTATTAATCATACTTGTAATCATTAGTGCCTTTGTAGAAAAAGCTATGTGCCAGGAGATGATTATTTGACAAATTACTGCAGGGACTCTGCATAATAGCTTTGCTGATACAATCAGCATTGAGCCATTGCTTGGAAAAAAAAATAAGAAAACAAAACAGCAAAACACGTATGAAGCAACTTCCAAACTGTTTATGAAACACCCTGTAAATGAAAGGAGACTGACTTTTGCATGCAGTCATCTTCACAAATACAGGCTTGGTTCGTTTTCATATGCAGGCGCTACTGTGGCACATGGAAGCAGCTAATAAATGAAGATAACTCACAATAACTGAGGAATGTGCAGCTGTCTCTAATTCTAGGAGTGTGGATGCTGCAGACTTGACTCAGGCTGAATCTGCACTGGAAGCTGCTGCACGATGCACTGGGAAGGCTGCAGCCTGTGGGCAGCTCCCATTTTCTTCTGATGTGGGCTGAACTGGGGCACTGGAATCCGTACAAGAAACACATAATCACTTCTGTATTCATACATTAACTTTCCGGTACTTCCTTCAGTCTAGCCTTGATAATTAGCCCTGCTAATATACACAAAGGCCCTGCTTTACTTTTGACCAGCGGACTAAAACTACCACCAAGTGGAATAAAAGGTATGCTGATAAAAGCACAGCCTGACCACTAAACTCGCATCAGTGGTCAGGACTTCTGCCAGCACAGCTCTACAGCAATTCGAGCTCTCCTTTTTCCAGTCCTGACAGCACAGAAACCAGCACAAGCCCTCAGTTTTTACACCCTAGGGCTGCACATGGTCCACATAACAAAATTCACCTCTCAATATGCAATGGTTGTTTTCATGAAATGCTATTTTGCTTAATAAGCAGATGCATTCATGCCTTAATAGTTTTACTGTATATGTTCGTTCTTTTATTGTATTTGTTCTGGAAAGTTATTTAATGCCAGGTAAGGTGTTCCTATATTTTGCTTGGAAGCACACTGTGCATTTTCAGGTTGCCTAAAAGTGTGAGCAGATGGGTATCTGTACATCTCCTTACATGCACTGCTCTCTTTTCCATGTGCCAATAGATAACTATTCATTAAGGTCCAGCCTTACCTTCACTGAAATAAATGAGCATTTTCCCATTGACTTCACTAGGTAAAGATATGGATCCAGAACCCAACTGCTTATATTAACAGTGCCCCAATGATACCATTCCATGCATACAAAATCATAGTTAATGAGCACACTAAAGAAAGTGAATTCATTTGGTATTCAGAGATAACCTTCTTAAATGTGTAAGGTAAAATAAAAATCAATTTTTTATAAGTGTAAGAGAATTGTTTTCTGTTCTTTAGTGTGAATGTTGTTCATAGCTTTCCCTTCCTATGCATGAAAAAAGAATATTGAAACTACCTGCTGTATTGTTGTTGTTTTTTAAACCTAATATCAAGAACGTACTAGTTGTGATGACATATATTTTTTCTCTGAGCATAGACCAATATGCCTTGCAAGTTGGATTTGGTTGTTACTGGTTGCTTGTTTGGCAGGCTGGGCCATGGGCTGAGGATGGGGCTCACCTACACTGCACAGGCTGAGGGAGAAAGGCTGGCTCAGGGCTGAGTGCCCCGCTCGGCACATCTTTTAATTAACCCCATTACTTGCTTTAACTAGAGATGCTTAAGAGAATAACCCCTGAGTTTAGATCTGCTCTTTCTGAAGGGGTGGTGGCATCTGAAGGGCTTTTAGTCATTTCCCTCCCAAAAAATGATGAGCCAGCATTGCCAGAGAGTGGATGCATTTCATGTACACTGCTGATGTGGGAAATAGCCAGCAACAGAATGACCCTTTCTTGCCCATCCTCCACAAGTCCCAGGCTGGAAAGCAGTGCCGGAGACAGGATCTGAGCTGGCAGCCCTGCCCACCCCATCCTTGTTTCCCTGCCACTGGCACCAGTTGGGTGCCTGCACCTTGGGACACCTGCAATTAGCCCCAGCAGGGCAGGCTTTCCACTGTGGTTAGGAAAGAACAGCACCATTTTCAAAAGAGCTAGGATGTCAAACTTCACGTTTGAAAGTCTCCCCAGGAATCCCATCTATCTGCCTTCTTAGTCACTTTGAAGGTTGGTGATTAAATCCATACTTACAGTGTGATTCTCCCACACACGGGGAGCGCTGGGAGCTTTGTCATCACCACTAATGGGGACGGGGCTGTGAGGAATGAAATGTGCAAGGAGTATGCGAGGGGAAAAAATAGGCTTGAAGTCATCAAATGAACAGAGCCAGAGGAGTTTTTAATTTTTGCTCGTGCTTTAATTACTGAAAATGATAGAAGCTCTTTGCCATTTTTTTTTTTTTTTTAAACGGTTAAGTTTAAAACTGTTTGGGGTTGTTTGTTTGTTTCTTTTGGGAACGACTTCCAGCAACCACGAGATATAAATCAAGCCCTGGTTTTGCTTTTCTTTTTCTTCTGCAGCCGCAGCTTAAACAACCAAACAGCGGGGCAGCTTCGCAGCAGCCCGAAGTCATACTGAGCGCTCTGCAAAGGATGGCGCGGGGCCACGGCCCTGCTCAGCCTGGGGCAGGCCGCATCCCGCTGTGCTGCCACGGCGTGGGCAGGTCCCCTGTGATGGGGCGAGCTCGTAATGGACTCCTCTTTGGGGTTCCTCATCCCCCCCTGCTCTCTCCTCGGGACCCTTCTCCCCTTGGACTGCAAAGGAGCGGCACTGGAAGTTGGAGGATAGCCTGTGTTTTGTGGTTATTTAGGGTAAAATTCTCACTGAATTCTCACTTCACGGGCCTGCCTGCATTCTCCCTTGGTGCTTCAGTTTTCTGTTTGTAAAATACAAATAGTAGCTCTTCTGCGTCCTCCAGGCATACTGTGAGGATAAATGTATTAAAGATGTGCAGTAGTCAGAGTCCACATCAGGGCAAGGAGTCTTAGGGAAGATAAATATGCCTGTAGACACCAAGTAGTCTCTTTCTTTGATGCTTTAATGCTTTTATGGTCAATAAAGAAACCTTGAGTTGTACAAAGGCTGTCTGGCAGTTCTAATATTAGCATCCACGCCGTAGCTGCTCCTCATGGGCAATGCGTGTTTACATCTCTGTGTGGTGCTGATGCTGCTGATAGAGTTTTTACATCTGATAAACCGAGCCGCTATAAACTCGGTTTGTGCCTGTCAGTGAACTGGCTTGTGAAAATGAAGCAAGATACGGCTCAGTCACATGAGAGTGTGA